GTGGGTGGCCCCCCCCCCCCCCCCCCAAAATTAATAAAAATGCCCAACTTAGCCTTTTGCCCAAAAACCCCCAAATTACTTAAGTACTCTTGAAACCCTAAATTTGGCTAAAATTCCCAAATTTATCCAAAATACCTAAATTTATTCAAAAATCATTTCAAACCTTCTAAAAAAACACCCAAATTACCCAAAATCACAAAAAATTCTCAAATTACCAAAATGCTCCTCCTTAGCCCAAAATTCCAAAAATTCCTAAAATTCCAAGAAATTCAAAAAATTTTCAAAATACTCCAAATATTCCCAATTTCACTTTTTTCAACTACCACATAACCCAATTTGGTCAATTTGACAATCTTTGACTAAAACCCCCCAATTTCCTTTAAAAGCCAAATCTCCCCAATTTCGCTTCAAATGTCCATCAAATTGGTCCTAATATCCCCCAATTTCTATCATAAACCCAAATTCACCTTTCATGTGACCAATATAAACCACATACAAGCTCAATTGGCCCATGATTTGAGCCCAACTTTGATCTAAGTCAAAACCCCCAATTTTGGCCCTGTGACTTGGTTCCACCAAATTGAACCCATCAACCTACTCAATTTGCCCCAATGTGAAAATTGGTCTCAATTTAGACCCTAAACTCTTCATAGAGTTCCTAAAAATAAAACTTGACCTTCAATTGGCCTTGTTGAAGCCTTAATTTTATTTAATTTCAAACTAGGTCAAAAGCCCCAAATTTTTCCCTAAATTGGCTATGCCTCCAAATTTCACCAAATTTATTTCCCTAACCCAAAAATTGGCACCCAATTCATGTTGTAAAATATTCATGGAATTACTATTTACCATTATCAATAATCAATTTAGACTTAGCCCAAGGCTAGCCCAATCTAGACCCAAGTCTAGCCCAACATGCTCAAATTGACCAAATTTCAAAAATCCTCTAAATTGACCTAAATTGATTAAAAAATCCTCCGAATTGACCCCTCAATTGAACTCAAAATCCTTTAAAGCCTTCACCGAAATTGTTCATTAAAATCACCTACATCAAATGCATCAATCAATTGGGTCAATTGACCTAGCTAGCCTAGCTCAAACCCAAGTTTTGGTCGTTTGAACCCACGTTGGACCCATGCACTAAAATTAGCCTAACCACCCAAAGTCACCAAATTAATGACTCCACAACAATTAGTTGGACCCAAATGACCAAGATAAACCCCAAAAAACCACCTAAGCTAAGAAATGGACTAAAGGTCCCCTAAATCAAGGGAGTTTTGATTCCATATTTTCTTAAGCCTTGGATTTTTTTGCTAAAACTAAACCTCAACTCATTTAATTACTATGACATATTCCCCTGGCTCACGTAACCACCTAGCCACCACACCTGGCCTGGCCAGCCGGCCTAATGGCTGGAAAACACTAGAATTCTGAGCCAAATCCTCCAAATCAAACCCATTTCAAACCTAGAGGCCACCTCATCCAAATCAAATGTTAGAGCCTCTCTGCCCTCCTCTCTACCCTCCACCTAAGCATCAGTTTTCACCCCCTAATTGGCCATGATAGCCACACTGAAGCCATTTTTATAAAAAGCTCCTTTCCACAGCCATGGAGGGGGGGGGAGTTGAAATTTTCTTAGTTAGAGCCCTCCAAATTGCTCACACAGACTCTTTGAAACCTCCTCAGCTTAAGCCAACCACTTTCCCCCACTCTGATTCTTACTATGGAAGCTCAATTTTGCTTCTGTCTAAAACTAGGACAGAGCTCAATACACCTTCATAGTCCAACAAACTCAAATTAACATTATCCACACCATCACCACAGTGAAAAAAGAAGAAGCCCCATCAAATTCCCTCTTCATAGAGACCCTAGCATAACTCTAGACCAACACCTGAAATCGAGCTTGGTCAAATTCATACCTAAACCATTCACCACAGTAAGAGGCTCAATCCCTAGCCTCCTTAGACTCCAACAAACATGCCGAGCACCTCTGATTGAAGCTTCCCTTCTCAAAACAAATGTATTGAACTCCCTCTCTTCCTAAGCCTATTTCGATTCTCCATTTGCTTAGACATCATTTCATGGCATCTTAATCGTATATATATGTTCCTCTAGTGTAGACGAGCATTTTAAAAAAAATTCACTCAATTTGGTTGAGAATTGAGAGAGATATCAAGCCTTGAAGATGGAGAGTTCTCTGGCTAGGTCATATAAGACGATGACAGAGGCATCTGATCACACGTTTATCTCATCAACAGATGAGATCAAGCCGGACAACACTTCCTTTCGTGCAGTGGGCCTAGTCACCGGTGAGATGGATAGCAGTGTCAAATAGGAGCTCGTCGCATGGAGCTTCGGAGCTGCCGTAGTTTGACATGGTGCTGCATGTTTAAATTGATAAATAGGGATTTAAATATTTCAGAAAATGCTCCCTAACTTCAAAAATTCATATCTTGATGTAGAAAAATCACAAAAATAATATAAAAATATCCTCTTGCTCAATAAACAGAGCAAAACAGTGTGGAAATAATTTGAAGTCCATTTGATGTATTTTTATTTTTAAATAATTAAATACTATTTTGAGTCTTTTGATTTTCCATGCATGTAGACATTTCACCATGACTTGAAATTTTAGCATGTTGTTGCATTTGTCTTAGGGAACATTCTCTGATTTTCTAAAGTTAGAGGAGATCTCTAGAAAGAGATCCATATTTTTAAAGTTTATGTCTATTATTTTCATAAATTAATCAGAATAATTATCCTGCTACTTAAAAAATTTAAAGAAAATTTTGGAGGGTTTTTTATGACGAGAGAATCCCTTGATATTTCATGGGTTAAGTCATTAAGAATGCACTTAATTTCCACCAACCATAAAACACAAAGATAATTAATTTTAGAAAATACAAACATCTAAATGACCT